GACTCTGCAATTCTATGTTATGGGATCTTTCTTTTAGAAAGCTTGGTATAGATTTGTTATATTCGTTCTATAGAAATTATGAGATGACAGGCATTTTTGCTGTCATTTCAAGTAACATCCCAACCACCCTGATACTATGAATCACCACAGTCCCACTGAAACTTGCTGATTTATACCCTCCAAGTGCCTGACAGCACCTCAGAGTTTTCTTTTGGAGGGAGAGGGGGTGTTGCTTTTACATTTTCATGCATGTTACCCCCTGAAAAAGAATCAGATAGAAACGGCATCCCAGGACTTCATGTTTATTATGTCCCAGTGATAGCTATGTCCCTTAGGCTCAGGATCATTTTTCTAGACATAATGATGTTCTGCATGAGCTCAAGAGATACGCTGTGCGTTTGACCAAGGTCTTAACCCCTCATGGAATCACAGAATGGTTTGGGTTAGAAGGGACTTTAAATTTCATATAGTTCCAACCCCCAGCCATGGGCAGGGACACCTTTCACTAGACCAGGTTGCTAAAAGCCCCATCCAACCTGGCCTTGAACACTGCCAGGGGATGGGGCAGCTACAGCTTCTCAGGGCAACTTCTGCCAGTGTCTCACCACTGTCACAGTTTATCTTGTGCTCCGAGCATCTTTCTGTACTGAGTATCAACAACAACTTTGGAAGCCAAAATATGCCCTGTGCCACACTAGGCAAGCTCCATTGCCTGGCAAGTATTTGTTCACCCTGCTTAACCATGCCCTACAAGGCTATCTCCGGGTCTGGGTGTCGGCATGACTCCCGTGCCCCCTGATAACCACGGCGCCCGTGGCCTGTCCTACCAAAGATGCTAGTGCAGCGCAGCGTCTGTGCCGCATCCCGGGTGGGAGCGGACACCAGGCGCTCACAAAGGTCGTGTGAAGGCTCTGGCGGCTGCGGTGGAAGCCGTGTCCAGCGGGGGCGGGGGGGGGCGGCAGGCGGGTGTGCGCCGCGGGGCCGCCAGCCGCCCGCACGGGCTCCGCCGCCACCTACCGACCCCGGCCGGCGGAGCAGCCCGCCGCCTGCGGCCGGGAGCTGTGTTTGACACGGGCACAGCGCTGACATTAGGCCCAGGGGGAGCATCGCGGAGCGCGGAGACCGGCCTCTTCTTTTCGTATCTTTACTTGATTTCTTTTTCCGCCGAGTCTCAGACCAAAGCCGGTTTCATTAAACTATTAAACATTATGCAACATTTGTACAGCTTAATTACAACTTCTTTTTTTTTTTTTTCACAAAAAACAACAAGCCGAACGCAGCCTTTTTGCAGCAATAAAACATGACGAGGCATGAAAGATGGTTCAATACTTTCTGTTTAATAGCTTGTTAGGCATGAGGGTAGAGGCCCAGAGCTCGTGACTACGCAGCAAGGTGTGAATTATTGCACCATAATTCTCGCCCTGGAGTGTTTTATTGCAATTAATAACTGTTTTCATGTTTTAAATACATTTTCTCACACCATAAAAAGCAGAAATGGAAAGTACTTGCTAATGGGAGGAATACTGGGAGGATTGGGCACGGATCACGAACTGCAGCAACTTCTTTGGTTTCATGCTATTTTGATCTGCTCTTAAAATGATTTTGGAATCCTCTTCAGCTTTAAAACTGTGTGGACCCAAAGCCCTGCTATTTCCCTTTGTTGAAGTAGCTCTCCCTGCAAATCTCTTCACAGATATTCTGAGTTGGAAAGCAGCTCCCTTTTATTTGCAGCATATTTTCTCCAAATCAACTGCAGCCACACAAAGCCACACATTCAGTTCCCCATGCCAAGCTACTGACTTCTGAGATGTGCACCTCGTTATTTTCAAAGCAGAAAAGAGATGGATTCAGAAAGCGTTTGCTGACTCTTTGTGAAGCCTGGTCCTGTGGCAAATTTGAACTTGTTCCAGTTTAATCTCGGTTAACCTGAAAGCTGAAGAAAAGCAGATATCACAAAAAATAAAATGCTGTTTGAGGCCCCTGATCCAGATCCTACTGAAGCTGCTGGAAATGCAAACCTTGCCTTTACTGGGAGCTGAGTCTGCCTCTTGATACTGAAATGGTGCCATAAAAATGCTATTACAGTGATATTTTCCTCCACTTGTTATTAAAAAACAGCAAAGGTGATGCCTGGGGTTATTCAGCACAACCTGCTTTAATATGTGTATATAATATAATGCTCTCTATTAACATCACTATATAGATTGCAATTGGTTAACCAGTCTGATGTCAAAAAGCCAATCTTTAAGAGCAAATACAGGGATTGAGAATACAGGTACAGAGATGGAAAATTGATTGGTATTTTGAACTTTCACTTAAGAAGACTTAATGGGATGAGGAGATTAATAATGGGGGTCTCTCGGGCTGTCTATCACTGTTTTGAGTACCCCAGAGGTCAGTAATAGCAGCAAATGGATAAGGCAGGTCAGGTACCTTGGTAGCCTTTTTCTGGATGTTACTAGATGTGTACTTGGCCCATTATGCAGTTTCTAGTCAGGATACAGCACAAGGCCAATTCTAGTAGCACTAAGAAATAAACCATATTTCAATTTAGCCTTGTCAGTGTTCAGTAAACCCATGACAAGGTCTTGCTTCCTCTGCTGCTGCTGCAGTGGCTGTTGTGGCTTTTTCTGCATCTTCTTACTGTTTGTTGGTCATGTGTTTATTGGACTTGGGTCTGTTTTATGGATCAGGATGCCACACGTGCTGGGCAAGGCACAGGACAAAACCATGTCTCTTGATCTGAAGATCCAGAGCAATGTAGGAAACAGGAGAAAAGTGGCAGAAAGAGCTGCCCTGCCATGTAATGAGTTTGTAACAGGAGAAAACAGAGAGTACATTCTCTCTTTTCAGCGTAAAAAACAGGGTTGATGGCAGTACCCCCTTTAAGCATACCCCTCTAGGCAGACTTTTCCTCTCTTCTCTGCAGTGCTAGGATCTAAGGACAGAGCATCTGAAAACAGGATAAAACATTTTCAGCCAAAGAGGTTCTGTGGCTTCTGCAGTGACCCTGTTAAACAGAGCCCTTGCAAGGGAGGTGACAGAGGTGAGGCTCTGTCACCCGAAGCATCGGCCTTGGCAGAGGACATTTAGTCTCCTAGGGCAGGAAGACAAGCCAAGGGGGTTTTCATCCTTGGGCTGGGGTCGCTTTACCACAAGGGGTGATCAGGATTCCCAGTATCAGGATTCTAGTACTTGGCTGTGCTGCTGAACTGAAATCAGTGGGATTTTGTGCTGAAATAAGGGAGTAATTATTTAATTAACCCCGTTTCAGAATTGAAACACAGTGTCATGCCATTAAACGTTTACTCTGTTGATGCTTTGTAGTATTTATCCTAATGCTAACCCTGGAGACTGAATTCCCTCATCTGTCTCCCTGTCATCTTTAATAAACACTGACCATACATTAACAATGAGATGATGTTGTAAGTCAGAATAAGACAGGCTTTGTGCCTGTGTCTTTTTGTTTGTTTCTACTGAAGTCCATTTAATGCAACTGGATGTTGCTTTTAAAACAGCATGAGTCAACTGAATTTATTTTTAAGGAAGTCTGCCTGAAAAAAATTAAATATTAATAATATCTGAGTTTGAACATGTTACTCAGCAGAAAACTCTCTACAAGACTTTATTTTGTTCTGCAAGTGACTTTATTAGTTATTTTTTTAAAAGCTTTATAAATCCTCCTTTCTAAACAGATGAAACAAACAAAATGTAAAACTCATCTCCATAAAGCACAACAAAATAATAATTTCCAGATGGGCTTTCTGATGGAAGATCAAAGTCCTTCATCTCAGACTTGGGAGATTTCCCTTCCATGCTGATATCAGTTTTATCTGCATGCAGTTCATCCAGCATTTGCTTTTTTTCAAAAAGGCAATTAGCTAGATGAAGCTGATGGAGAATGCTCTTAGAGCTGAAGAGACTAGAAAAGATTTACTATAAATAGGAAAAGATTTCTGGGTAGGTAGGGCGGGAGGAATCTTTCTCACTTTGATTTATACAAAAATCAGTCGTTTGTATACACTGAAAAACGCCAGCTTCCTATGCAAAGATGAAATAAGCAGAAAAGAGTTGTTTCTGCATTTTTGCAACTGGTTTGGACAAACTCCTTGCTGTGCATCTCTGATTTCAAACGTCAGCCAAACGAGGCGTGTGGCTCAAAAATAATAGGTTAGTGTTTTTCTGTGAATGTTTTATGCATCTGTGCATTTTGAGATTCTGCTTCCAAGAAGCAGCAGTTTCTACAGAATGCCTGTACTTACGGGTTGTCTGCATTTTCAGCCTAACAGAGCCATAGAGGTTGTTTAAGGCTTTCTGTTTCTGAAGTTCACCCTCTACTAGTAGATGTATCCATCTCTGTGAACTGCATTTCTGTGTTTTAGCATATACAAAATAGATGTACAAAATACCTGTTCATTTTATTCACCCTGGCAATTTCAGAAGATTGAGGAAGTCTGATTCCCCAGCCCTAATTGTCCACTTATGCATCTGTCTTCTGGAGGACACTAGTTTCACTCTCCTTCTCTGTCTCTCTCATACATACATATATTCATTTTGGTTTTCTCTACCTACACATCTGCACAGAAGCCCTCGCAGTTCAGTAATCTTGTCTCCTTGGTGCCATGCACCATGTGCCTTTTTGGCTAAAAGTTCTGCAAACACACAGCCCGAAATACTAATGCATCTCAGCAATGAATAGTCTTTCACCTTGGAAAGCTTAATCTGCTTTTCCCTGACCGCATTTCCCTGCCCACCATCAATGTGAAATACCAAAAAAGCTTCACAAGAAAAAAAAACAACAACCCATCAAAACTCACAGATGCACAAATAATATTTTAGAAAGCAATTCATCTGAAGGTCTCTTGACAAAGGGGATTATGGAACTGAAATGTAATTACCTTGGCATTTAAGTTTCTATTCCCACCATGTGGTTTGGTTCACATATTTGATTACAAAGTTTTGTCATTCAAAACAGCCTATAGGTCTCTTTTTCATTGCAGATACAAGGCAAGTACAGCCATCTCCACCATGGTCCTACGACCAGTCCTACCAGTACCTGGGCTCCATTGCCACCCCGTCCGTTCACCCCGCCACGCCAATATCACCTGGCAGGGCTAGCGGCATGACATCCCTCACTGCAGAGCTTTCCAGCCGGCTGTCAAGTAAGTACCTAAAAGTTAGTCCCTCTGAGCTGGGCCTCCCCAAGACCCTACGGCTGACTCCAGTGCAAACCAGTTGCGAAGTCCCAGGATGCTGCCACAGCTTTCCCCCAGTTGCAGTGAAGCTTATTGCACAACCCCTGCAGCGAGCCTTCTCTAACACTTTGCTGGCATTTGTGCAAAGAGTTAAGAAATATGGTTTGGGGCCCAATATATCATTGTCAAAAAGAAAAGGAAAGAGGAGAAAGCAACACTTTGGAAATGTATGGAACTATAAAGATAGTTTGGCATGCTGAAGAGCTATTCTATCTACCAAGAAATGAATGTCACAGATATTTCAGTTATGTTCTCTTCCCTCGCCCTAAATTCAGACCAGAGCACAGCAGGTGATGGGTGGACACAGACTGCAGGATGGTGGGGTTTGACATTTTAAGTGTTGCACTGGATTGTCTAGTCACATTTTCATCAAATTGTACAGCAGAACTTTACAAGCCAATGTCAAAATACAACATGGAAGTGAAAGCTAACCCCCAGGTTTCCACCATACTCAACTGACCATCTGCTGACTCTAACCCACACATATTGAACCAATATGTGTGTGTTCAACAGCAGGAATGAGAGCCATATAATTCAGATTTGCATACGGCTTTTGAAAGCATATCTTGCACATATTGCTCTCATTTGAATACTCAGAGCTTCTTCCAAGATCAGAGAGAATCACTTGAATGTGCTCCAGCCTGTTGTATTGTTGTCATACACAGCCTGCTTTGAAAGAGTGACAGGAATGATGCCCACCAAAATTAAATTGTTAGGTCTGGGTGCTAATTACATCTTAGAAATAGCTGAATGTAGGAAATTTCTTGGTTTAGAAAAGTCTATAAAATTCTCTATTGACACACTCTTCTTTCAAAATGAAAAGACTCTGTTTTTATTTTCTCTCCTGTGCTTCCCTCCCTTTGCACTCCTTTCCACTGGCAAATGCAGAAACATAGAAAACAGAGAAGGATGAATGAAGATCTTCATAGAAATTCATAGAAATTTCTTCATAGAAATTCTTCACTGTGAGGGTGGTGAGGTACTGGAACAGGTTGACCAGAGACATTGTGGCTGCCCCATCCCTGGGGGCTGGATGGGGCTTTGAGCAGCCTCCTCTAGTGGAAGTTGTCCCTGCCCGTGGCATGAGGGTTGGAACTGGATGAGCTTTAAGGTCCCTTCCAACCCAAACCAGTCTGAGATTCTACAATAGTAACCAGAAAAATTAAAGTAAAACAAGTAATTCCATCAAGTTTTTTACTTAGAGAAGTATTTTTTCTTGACAGAATTTTCTGAAATCAGTGTTTACCACCTATTTTGATTTTCAAACCCTCTACAGGAGTGACTGATGCCTGTGTACTGGTAGGTGTAGATACGTGACTCAGACTGAGTGGAAATGTTTATCACGTTTTACCTTTACCAATGTGATGACTGAGGTTGCACTCAATTTTGAAAGGCAATATTTTTTGCATTGCCATAGTGCCCAAATGTCATCATTGCGTAGCAGGGCTCTTGTTGTGCCATGTGTGGTATAAGCACCAAAGGCAGCCAAGGTAGCTGCCCCAGGAATGCACAATCTAACAGAAGACAGCCATGTAAACGTGGAGTAACTGAATTCTGTGTCTCTTCGGTGGTACATGGTGAGCATGGAGGTAGAGCACGAGCACTAGGGCTTATTGGTGCATTTTGTGCCCATGTCAAAATGATTTACCTCATGGCAGGCATATTTTCTTCAACACTTGAGAAGGAGCCTAGAAGAGCCCTATTCACGTCAGTATCCTTTTCTTTCCTGTCTGAATTCTGTACATGGGGGTTCATCTCTACACATCTTAAGTGCTTCTTTATAATGCTTCCAAAATGTTACATTTCTATCAAATGCCGTTCAATATTCCTAGAAAAAGTTTTCACAGTATTTTCACCCCAGTCCAGTTATTGTCACACACCCTTGATGTCTAGTGAAGAAATTTCTCCTTCCAGAACAAAAGGCAAATTTCTAGGCCCTACCATAAAAAGACACAGTGCCTCACAAGAAAAAGCGAAAATATAGGACCTGCTTGGAATACCTTGACATTAAGTCTCATTATTCTGCTTTTTGCCAAACTGAGAAGAAAAAACCATCATCTGATAAGTGATGTGTCCAGGCAGCTTCGAGAAGCTCCATTTCTTTCTCAGGAATGAGGTGTGGAAGTACCGTTTAAAGTCTGGCAGGTTGTCAGATGCTACCTTCAACCTTAGCTACTCTGAAGCTCCTTCCATTCTATACCATAGTGTGTCTTGCCATGTTAAATCTAAAGGTGCTGGGGTCTAGGGGAAGGAAATGCTTTCAGGGTCCCATTAATCTTCCAGAAAAAAATGGGAGGCCAAGTCAGAAAGGAAGCATACAGCATGCGTCAGAGCTTTTCTAAGAAATTTATAGGGATTCATCAAGTTGTGCTGGCTGTGTCGCTGACGAGCCTTCAGAACTTGGCGCTGCAGTGTGTCTGCTCTAGCTTTAAATCCGGTCAGAGCCAAGAGCTTTGTTTTCTCTCTGCTACTCCTCATGAGTATTTCCTTCAGCACATGGCTCCTCTTCTGCAGACTCCACGCCTTGTCTGATAGAAGAAGTTGTCTTCTGGAAAGATTTTTTCTTAATTATTATTGTTGTTATTTTAATCATAAGTAGCTGCCAGCTGCAGGGACTGACACCTTCCATTAATCTGAGTCATGATGAAGATCCTTCCTAAAGATGCCATTATCTGCTCTGCTTGTTTAATCCCTGCGCACCGGGGAAGGAGACGGTGGGACTGGACATACTTCCACTGATGTCCGACAGCACGGAGCAGAATTTGACTGTCCTAGAAAACATTTCACTTGGCAGGGTGGGAAAGGCTTCTAGCACAAAGGAAAGGAAATAAAAAGGCCACCCCCCAAATACATCATTCTGCTTTAAAAAGGCAATACTATTTTTGTCCTTTATTACATACTCATTGGAGCCAATATTTGGAGAAGTTAATAACAATTACGGAGACATTATGTGAGGACCCAGATATGAAGACCTTAAGTGAACCTGATTTATCTAGACTTTGGTAGTGTTGAGTCAGTGGGGAAGTGTGCTTCTAAATGCTGAGACGTAGGCTGAGCCTTTGTGTGTAAACACTACCTGTGCATGTTCATGTACCTGAGGTACAATCTCTGTTCCATGGAGCTTCCCATTTGAGTTGGCAAATAAAACTGGGTGCAGTGAGGGACTATGCAGAAGCTGGACAATTTATAATTAGGTCTCATCAGTGTCCCTCGTAAGTCAAGTGAGTCTGGACAAGCAGCTTGAGATACGTGTCCCTCTTCCTCACACACCCATTGAGGATGAGGACATTCTGGAAGTATAAATAATTCCATGTGCTGTAAGGTCGCTAAGAGTGAATACATACACATAAAAAACAGGGCAGGAGCTTGGCACTCCTCTTTAATTGCTGCTTTACAGAAATTAATCCAAAACATCCAGACCTACAAACATTACAGTGCCTCTCCAGAGCAGCTGAGGGATAAGTCTGTTCTGGCTGCTTTGGTTAGCTGTAGGCCAGAGTTTGTATGTTGGTTATCGCTTTGAATACGTGAGCCTCCATTATGCCAGCTCAACAGTTCTCTCTCTCTCTTCCCCATCATCCAGGTGCTTCTGAGCTTACGGCATTCAGTGACCCCCGGGTGGGCATCGACCGCTCCTTCTCTGCACTCCCCTCCATCTCTGACCCTCGGATGCACTACCCGGGAGCGTTCACCTACACACCAACGCCCGTCAGTTCAGGGATAGGAATCGGTATGTCTGCCATGTCCACAGCCACGAGATACCACACTTACCTCCCACCTCCCTACCCTGGTTCATCACAGGCCCAGGGCAGCCCGTTCCAGACCAGCTCGCCCTCCTACCACCTCTACTATGGAACCTCCGCCGGCTCCTATCAGTTCTCCATGATTTCAGGGGGAGACCGGTCTCCCCCACGCATCCATCCACCCTGCACCAATGCCTCCACGGGATCGACACTTCTCAACCCCAACCTCCCCAACCAAAGCGATGTGGTCGAGGCAGAAGGGAGCCACAGCAACTCCCCTACTAACATGGCCACCACAGCAAGGCTAGAGGAAGCAGTGTGGCGACCATACTGATTGAATTTTAAGTAGTTATGGGTGAGGACTAATGTACTTTCCATTTCCTGGTGCCCATAGGTATCCCATAAACACCCATCTTGCTTATGGGCCCTGCCAAGTTCATACATCACTTTCAGAAGCAGACCCTCCAGAAGTCAGCGCTCCCAGGAGCAGTGGCATGTATTAGCCAGCCCCTGTTGAAGCGTTGTCACTGAAGCAAAACATCCCTTGAGAGGGACTGAGCTTCTGGAAAGGAGGACGCCTGAGCTGGTGGTCCAGAGGTATTGAGGGTGGGTAGTAAGGTACCCAGTCTGTTTCCAGGCCTGTGGCTTTCCAGCGTGCCTGGGCTTGAAGGTCTCCACAACCCTAAAGAGAGTTTCGGTTCACTTCTATTTTTAAGATTTAAAACCTAAAAAAAAATCTTAGTGAGTTTACTGCATCTTATGGACATATTAACTGTAAGGAAGTATAGGAAGATTCCCAGAGGGAAACTGTGAACGCTTCTGTTTTAGCAATGCTGTGAATGAGAGGTTTTATATGTTGGACTTCATTCTTTCTTAATTTTTTTTTAACCAGTTGTATATTCCAAAGAATATGGAATTTTTTTATTGCTGGGGTTTGTTTTGTTTGGGGTTTGTTTTTGGGGATTTTTTTTTTGGGGGGGGGGGATGCAGCTCATTCTGCTTTGCATCTAATTTGTTTTATTTCTCTTGGCACCTTATAAATTGCAAAAAGAAAAAGATTTTGTTCTTTTTTTTGTTTCCATCATGCTTGCTTCTTTCTTGCTTTGTCAACTGAAAGAATCAGCCCCTTTTTCAATGAGTTAATTTAACTTTTTTTCTCTTGGACTTTTTTTTTTAATACAACGGCTACAGCCTTGGGTCATTTTCAACTACTGTACTACTTTGATGAGTTCATTGGTATTTATGCTTGATATTTAGACTTCGTATTTGTTGATACTATTATTATTTAAATATGCCTATATTAGAAAAGATCAGCAATTGCCTTTTTTTTGGTAGCAGCCAAAGTCAAATTTATCACATTGAAAAAGGCTGAAATAACGATGGGTACAGTGACCTCCTAATTACCTAGAAATATTGTTTACAGTTATCTCACTCTCATTTTACTCAGCTAACGAGGCTCAGATCCTCAAAGGCATTTAGGTGCCCAACTCCCACTGAAACAATTTAGGCACCAAAATCCCTGTGAATTTCTGTGCCTTCCCACACAGTCGGGTCATCTCTCCCTGCTCCTTCCTTGCTTTTCCTTTGTCACCAGTGGTGACCCTCAGGATCAGTAATCAAGATGTACATATTTCGTAAGGCAGACTCAATATTCCCTAACTAAATAAATCCCCATAGGCCTCATTCTGCTCCCAAGCTTGTCCAGGCTTCCTAACAACACTGGTGGAGGCCTTTGAGGCTTTCAAAGGTGAAAGCCAACACACAGTTAGCATGGCAAGGGTGAAGTCCTGGCTCTGATGGAATATGAGTGAATTTGCTCCCAGCTCAGCAGAGCCAAGATTTCTGTGGAGTACAAAAGCTACGTTCCATTCCACTGGAAAATAGATCAGTTCCTGCATCACAAAATAACTTGAACTGAACAGAGGTGTCTAGCTCATCTGGAAAGCAGGCTAGCAAAGAGGGGGCCTTAACGGTTCTTCTGTCACCATCTTCTGAGAGAAGAGGAAGGGTATTTAAGACTGAGGCATAAAATACTGTGTCCTGTAGCAAATATGCAAGGCTTATACTAGCTGCATGTTTAATACAGAGTCGTCATCGTTGCCCATCGTTACAGCACAAACATATCAGATGTCACTGTAAAGTTTATGGCACTATTTTATTTGAGGGTTTGGTCTGAAGGCAGTTGTTGTACTACTCATTAATTACAAACTGCTGATGTTGACACTTGTGCGTTCCAAATTACCTGATTATTATTTAATGTACCTCTTTAAATGAGTGAAACAATTGCAGGTCAACTCAGAGAGTATTTGAAAGCAGGACTTCAGATCAGTGTTTGATGTTTAAAAAAAATTTAAAGGATTCAAATTAAAAAGATCCTTGGCTGCAGGCAGCAAAACAGCTGGACTTATTTAAAACCATTTGTTTTTCAAGTTTTCTTTTTTTTATATATAATTTTGCTTCTTTGTTTAAGTCAGATGCAGTAGCACTTTGGTATTGAAAAGTTACAAATTGAAGAATTTACATTGTCAATAAGGTCATTTTTCTGCAGAAAATAGGGAGTGTTTCAAGAGATCTCAGCAAAAGTTCAAAACGTTCCTGTTAAAATACATGCATGGCCTTGTCCTTTTCATTTGGTGTAATAGTTTTCATAATTTTCTAGAGTTGGCTCTGAACAAAAAAGGCAGAAAATATCAAAATTCTATCAGAACAGTTTAAGATCTATCTTGGAAGTATGGAGACCTTGCTGAATACAGAAATAGAGACCCTGCCTTTCGTGACATTTACATAGTTGGAATCTCACCTCTTCAGTAGCCTAAAAAAAAAGTCTTTCATCACTAAACAGTAGCTCTGTTGCAGAATACATCTCACACATCTCTGTCTCTGTGCAATTAAAATCATAATTTACTACAGCTCTCACATCTGCCTTGTGACTGGACCACCCAAGTGCATAGTATCGTGAGTGCAAACCCCAAAGCGAGGGAGAGAGAAGGACCTATGAGGAGACAGATTCCTCATTGCAGAGGGCATGGCTGCCATGGCTAGGTGACTCCAGCCCAGTTGATATGGTCAGTACACTCCCAGGCCTGCCTGTCAACAGAGCCTGCTTTCTGCTAAAGTCCTTTGTCCCCTTCTAGCCCATAGTATTTTTGAAACAGAAAGATGAGGGATTCACAAGAATGAGGAGTTGGCATCTCTCACCCTGGAGATTAGACCCTCCATTGAACATTTCTTATGTCTACACATCTACTTTCTTTACATTTGACCTGAAAGTGAAGTTTAATTTTACTCTTCCTGGTATGAACAGGATGAGAAACTGCAGAACAGGTCACCACACTTACCCTGTGTCTTTACCGACATGTAAAAAGCCCCTGGGATTTGTAGTAATTGCCAGCAGCTAAAAACCTGTGAGTCTAACCTCGATGTGTATGACAAGCACAGCACAAAGCAGCACCCTCTTTACAGAGGAAAAACTAAGTTCATTATCCCCCGGAATTAGCCTGTTTAATCACTGTGGGTTTCAGTGGATTCACATAAGTGCTTAGGAGAAACCACAGCTTACTCAAATCTGTATTTTTGCAGCCATCCCTGTCCACTAAGGAGAGCAAAGAAAGATCTTCAAGGCTATGAAAATGCTCTCATATCACTCCTCTTGTATCTTAAGAGCACTTAGCAGGCAGAAAGAAGACATTTGGATAAAGCATCTCCTCCATTCACATGTCTCCAAATTATAGTATATAAGTATATATTTTTATATTTATATGTAATATATGTATTTATATAGTTTTATCATCCCAGTAACTGAATGGAACCAAAAAAGAACTATTGTGCTTCTGTTCACAAGTCGCAGTCAGCAGAGTGCCTTAGGTACCTTCCCCTACAGAAATGCAGTTAATGGCAATCCTTACTATCCGTTTGTGTGTTCCTTTCACAAGACACAATTCCTTGTCCAGATGCAGCCATACCAAACAACTTCAAAGTAAATACAGGGCTCAGGTCTTACGCACTATAAGGCCCATAATTTTCCTCTCAAACATTTATACCCACTTCAGCAGCTCCTGCTACACTTCCAGAGCAATATACAGGAGCTTAAGTGCAAGGGGGAGGCAGATGCAGGGTGCATCCCTGCTACGAAGGATTTGATTTGCAAAATTATGCCAAATTATCTGCTGGAAAGGAGAAAACCCCTTTCCTCCAAATGGCCCACAGCCTTTGCCAAAGTGTTCCGAACTGCCTGCACTCTTGAAACATTCATTACTGCTTTCTGGGTGACCTTTTCTATTGGTGTATTTGAAGATTCAGGAGAAGTGGATCCTTTTTCTATCTGAGCAAAATGCTTGTTTTCCTGCATTGTAACAGTTTTGTATTTTATTTTTGTTAACCTTGCTTGGTCAGTACCGATCACTTGGCATTTTTCTCCTTGTCCTAAAAGGGTTGCATCAACAGAGTTACTTGTATTTATGTATGTAAATAGATTTCAAAAGCTTCATAGCAAAATATTTAGTGCTTGTAATTACACTGCATTTTTTTCATTTTTCTGTGTTTTTAATGAACTTACTTTGTGTTTGCTTAAATACTGTAGTGAGACTTATTTCTTTCCCAATTATTTTAGGCTTCAAGATTAACTACATTTTATTCACTTTTGTAAACAGTTATAGCATGGTCTCTATTCAACATTCTTCACTTTTTTGTGGTAGGGGAGAAATGAATGTGCAAAAATCTGTGGGTTAATTGTGGTATTCTGGGCTCAACAGTTACATCTTTCTTTAAAACAAAAATTAAACTTTCAGTCTGAGGTGGCTGTGTAGAAAGTCTGAGGGGAGGACACAGCGGGAGATGTGCTCCTATCAGAATGGCATCAAAGTGCATTTGTTCAGCATTTGCTGGCTATGTTTACAAAACAGATGCTGCAGCATCCTGCAACAGTCACATTTTCCCTTGACACTGTCATGCTGAGCATTTCCAGGACGGGAAACCAACAGGTTCTGGAAGTTTGCTTTTTTGTTTCGATTGCAGGGGATTTTAATTTTGGGAGGGTGGGAGGGAGGAACAGGACAGGACTGCTGTTTTTTGGAACCAGATAGGAAAACATAATATGGTAGATTTTTTCCCCCACTACAGGAAGTTTCTAGATACCACATCAGAGTAGACTCTTGCTGTACATAGGGATGGCTGTGTCCAGCGCCACACGAGAATTCATTACAACTAGCACACAGAGCAGCTGGACTGCTGCGTTAGTTCTAATGAAGACTTTCTTTCTTCTTTCTTTCTTTCTTTGTACCACAGTTTCCTCTGTAAATTCAGTATCATAATTAGTGTGAATGACAAATAAAATGTTTGACAAGTATCCACATCGGCCTAGTATGTTCTTTCATCAGGAAGAAAACAACTCTTTCAGAGAAAAAGTAAAGAAAAAGGGTGTATGTATCACACAAAAAAAATATGTTTCCATACTTCTACTTTTTTTGTTTTGTTTTGTTTTTTAACAAAATGACATTTTTCTGCTGTGGACTGATGTGGCAAAAGGTCTGCAATCCAATAGGACCATCAAAATATGTCTGAAATGAGGCTTTGCAGATACAGAATCATAGTGATAGCATTATATCTGTGGCTTCTTGATTAAATTTCAATATTTCAAGGTCATATACAGCTCTTATTTTTCTTCCTTACTCTTTTGGCTCTTGGATTGGATCCTTTTTGATATTGATGAGTTGAGCCTTACTTCAGGATCACCAAAACAGATAGTTTGAGGTCATATTATTTATGAAATACATTGGTTGTTTTTCTGTTTAAATAAATAATGAAACAGTAGTGTTAATGAAACATTAATATGGGAGTAAAAGGCTTTCAAAATGAGAAAAAAAACCCAACTGGGTCAATATTGAAAGTTCAGTCTGAAAGCCTCTCTCTATATATATATCTGTATGTATGTGTAAGTATCTATACACATATAGATATATATAATCTTCTAATATTGGCCCTACACTTCATACTGCATTATATTGAAGAAGCTCTCAATACCATCCTTTTACACAATAATGTATATATGCAAAGATACTCTCAGTGAAGTGAAAAACAAGTTACAAAGCAAATTATTAAAGATGGGTTGTTTTTCTTCCTGACAACTTGTCAGGTAGCACTCCATCTCTCAGATGATAATTAGTATTAGGGCCAAAGAAATCTAAAAGAAATCAGTTAACTGACTGAATTCCAGGTGCCTGTTCAGAAATGCCAACACACACTGACATGGTTACTGGTTACCCTGCACAGTATGACCCCCCAGCATTTCCTTCTGGCACAATCCCAGGTTATCCTAACAATATTGCAGTTACCCTTTTGCAAGGGATCTACCCTGCTGATTCTTATCCTTGCCCTGAGCACCCCAAGAGCACTTCTTTAGAGGTGGATGATAAACTAGAGCACACACTTAGTTTCTTACTTCAATACAACAGGAAAAGAAGCTACAAATAGCGACAGTCAAAACAAAACAAAAAATATTACACCCAAGGACATCTCCAACAGAAATATTTGCTCCTAGATTCTGAAGACTATGCAGAGGATATACTAGCAGGTTCTTCATTTTGTACAGGAGAGTAAGGCATCACACTCTCATGGCCATTTTTACTGGATGCACGTATCCTGCTGCCACTGAGGCTGCCTATACTTGTGAGTAAGGCTGTCTCTTTCTTGACAGCAGCAGCTCAGGCATTTGTGTAGGCCAGCTGGACTGAGGTGAGTCTCTCCTAGCCCCACGCCTGCCAGCTTTCACAGTGGTTGTGCCATTCCAGGTAGCGGCACCCACTCCTACAGGGTGAAGGGAGGAAGCATGGGCAGCTGCCCTCTCCTGCCCCCCTGCCTTCCTCCCTGCCATGGGAAGCTGAGAGCTCCCTAGCAAGCAGTTCACAATGAGGGCAGACCTCCGGGATTCCTGGGCACTTGAGGTGGCCCCACCATGCCTCTTTTGCATCTGAGAAAGGCCAGCTCAATTCCCCCACTCTGGTTGCTTGAGTGGGAGGAAGAGGAAAGGGCAAAGAAGGTAATGAAGACTTAAGGCTGGAGACTGCTGTTTGTGAGAGGAGAGGCTAGGAAGGGTGAACGCAAAAGGCTGTTGACTTCTTGTGGCACCTCATGCTCTGACTGACAGCCTTTAATGACCTTTAATTATAAAGGCCATTGTCATGGGTGTTCTCCCACACTGTTTTGTTTGACTTGCGCAATGAGGAAACAGCCATCAGCCAGGCTCCAGAGCAAAAGCATCTTAGTAAATCCTATCAGCCTGCAAGGCATCCTACAACTCAACACAGATGTCCTGGAAAGATAACACAGGTGTATTACCTTTGGTGTACATGGCTTTCTTCCTCTTTTCAGTGGCTTGTCTCACAACAGGCTTGGATTAGTGGTGCAGCATACTGTGCCCAGAAGTGATAGTCCTTTTTTCAGCAGTCATGGAAATGCTGGTTACTGGTGCAGCATGTGTGGTCACAAAACAGACAATAAGCTCTCAGACAATTAGCTGCTCTGAGACAGGCTTTGTTCACAGCATTCACAGCTTAGAAGCCTATCACCACTACAACTGTTACGATACTGGAAGACCTTGTAATGGCATTGTGGTTTCCAGACATGACTAAAATATGATTCAGTCCAGCACTGTAAATGGGCCAAAAATACATTTTTTCCGTGGCCCCATGTCTTTTAACAACCCTGGGCTTCTTACAGTTCTGTAAGATCATTTGGGAACATGTCTCAGCTATTACTTCAGGCACCCCCTTCTGGAAGACAGCTCCCTTTTGCACTGTTTACCTTTGGTTAAGGGCTTGCAATAACTTTGCCACTGGGATGCCCTGTGGATCACAACTTGTAACCTAGGCAGGATCTCAGGGAATGTCCGAATTACAGCTCAACTCTTGCCTGC